TTTTATTGTTAAAAAAAAAAAAAAAAAAAAAAAAAAAAATACGCCGAAGTCTAAAGCACTCAAATTGGAAAACCTTCAAGTGTTCCGACCAGTTTCTTCCATTGTAAGCGTTTTGCACACAAGCGTGATTTTTATGTCAAAATAAAAGCCAAAACTTGCAATACTATTTTTAGCAGACAAAAAAAAAAACTAAGTATAAATGTATAAATATTTTTGACTTGAACATTTGGATGGCACTTGATTCAAATAGAACATTAATCCTTTGGACAGAATGTTTGGGGAAAAAAAGACTTAAAGTACAAGGTTGTTTTTAAAGAGTCTGTGTAGGGTATTAAGTAGTACTGTAATTCATGACTGTTAAAAAAAATACTTTCTGTGCGATAAGAAAAATTTCACAGTACCACTGAATTATGTTTCTCAACTGTCTCAGCCACGAACGACGCTAGCTTTTTTTTTTTTTATATATATATAGTGCATTATTCACTAGTATTTATGTGCTGTTACTCTGTATAGTTAAGACTGTTATTTTGTAGCCATGGCTGACACACTATATCAGTAACTAAAAAAAAAAAAAAGACAAAGTGAAGACCCCCCCCACCTGCCAAGAATTCAAAATGTGCTCATAGCTGTTTTTCATATGACAAAAAAATCCATTTAAACCCCCCCCCGATGTGATCATTAATTGTAAACCGCTTTGTAAAATTCACATTTACAAAATAATAAAGTTAATTAAAATTAAAATGAAAAGTCCAGCTTGGCTTTTTCTTTCTGGGGCGCAGAAGGGAAGGGCGGTTAATCGTCACTGGGGGTGGGTTGAGAGCAAGGAGGTGCGGCAGGGCAGGAGCATGGGAGCTTGTGAGGATGGCAGGAGGGATGTGAGGAGGACATCCCAATTATGTGCAAAAATTGCTAGCTACAGGACAGGCAGTGAAGTGGCTTCCAGGTTTCTAGACCTGGTCCCAGGCCTGAACCAAATCCCCTCTGATCGGGAGTGAGAAGACTCCTGTTGGCTTTGAAATGGAGCGTATAAAACCTTGCAGGGATAAAACCAGCTCCGCAGTCTAAGGTTGGCCCATTTCTTCTGATGTACTTGTATCCAGTTAAGTAGCCCCTTACTGGAATTACAAATTACAACTCCATCTTCTGCGCGGAAACAGGGAGGATGTTACCAAACGTCCAGCCCATCACTGTGGCACAAGAAACTGCACGTGTCCAGGTGCATGAGACCTTCCTTGGGTTGTCTTAGCCCATCAAAGGAGGCTTTCTCGTGTTTCCCTGTTGTTAGGAATAAGTTGTATTTTGGCAACCAGCTGTCAGGAAGAGAGGTGTCTGCGGCTGCGGTGCTTGGAAGTGGAGAGGCAGCTGGAAGCACATTGGACCCACAGGCTTGGCAGGGACCAATGCCAAGGTAGGTGCAAGGTTGCCTTTTCTCTTAGCAGGTGGGCTCGTGGTGGCAGAGCCAGGCAGGGGTTGGGTTGGCTTCATTCAGTGCAAAGCCAACTGGGCAGAGAAAGCCTCAGATCATTCCCGTGGTGGGAGGACACTGCACCCTGGATTATTCCCAGAGGCGCTAGGACCCAGACCATATTGGGGGAATGTCCTGAAATCGGGGACATGTCCCTCAGCCCCCCCGGTCTGGAAACATGCGCCTCTTCCCCCAGCCTATGCTGGGTTTGCTCATCTCATCCAGCCCTGCTCAGCTGCCCTCCCCCTGGGAACTGAGCTTGGAGCAGTGCAGAGATCAGATGAGCCAGGTCCTGGGAACGTGGGGTGCTGGGGACTGAGCGGCCTCAGCAAGGAGGTGGGCAGAGGTAGGGGGCTGCAGTCTGGGGACCACGGGGATCTCTTCCGTCTTGACACCCATCTTGCTGGGGTCATCTGAGCCCAGCAGTCTTTCCTGCCCAA